CGCTAACCACAACGCGGTATAAAATTTCCTAAGTCTTTTTGCTTGGAGGGTAAGAAATTAAGCATGATTAGGAAAAAAAAAAAGGGGGAATGATAATAATAATTTTTTGAAAGCAAAAATAAATTTGTAGCATTTGATACAAAATTAAAGGCCAGTTATAAACGTAAGTTAGAAAGTCTACTTATATATTGGTTGGTACCATTCACATACACACACAGATCGTATTTTATTCTCGAGTGTCAAGATGTAGAAACATCTTTTTACTCGACTTCTGATAAAGAGCAGGAGGGGGAGAGAGGGAGAAGGGTGAAAGGAGTGAGGGAGGCGGATGAAAGAGAGTGAGGTCCGCACTAGCGGCGGCGAGAAAAGGCGGGTGTCAAGTTCAGTGTCGTTATAAGATGAAGGCGCGGGTGGTAAATCCGCGAGTCATTTTTGCGTGAATGAGTCAATTAAGGTTGTGAATCTTATGTGGGAGGATATCAGAAGGGTAGCGATTTTTTCTCTGGACGTGGGGAGTGTCTGAGATGCTAATAAGGCTATTACTGTGGGTTTGTACTGAATAAAAGAAGTTGACCGCTAATCGTTTAATATACTCTTGAATAAGTTCCATTCGAAGGTTCTGTGGATATAGATGTTGGGAATATACAAGGAGCATTGATAATTTCTCTCGTAAAATTTATTTTGTAGAATTTGTAATTGTTTAATATTGGTTTTAGCTGCATGTCCCCAGATCGGTGCTGCATAAAGAAGAGATGGGCGCAGTATGGAACGATATAGAATTATTTATTTGTAGTAGATAAGTTGTTTTTTCTACCAAAAGGGTCGCATAGTAGCTGTGGTGATTTTAAAATTTTTGTACTAAGGACCGGAAATGGGTTCTGAAGGTAAGTTTTTGGTCAAGGGTGACTCCAAGTATTTTGGTTTCATTAATCCAGTCTATTTCTCGTTAAATATTTCAGGGGGTGGAGGATAGTATTCATGTTTCCCTTACGGAAAATTATTGCCTTAGTTTTAAATCAGTGTTAATTTTAATCCTCCAAAGGGTAAGCCATTTTTCCAGTTTTATGAGATAGCTTTGGAGTTGGTTTCTAACGGCGATAACAGTACAGGCTTTAGTAAGTATAGCGGTGTCATCGGCAAAGAGTGGAAGATGAACAGAAGGGTCTTTAGGGATATCTTGTGTATAAATATTAAAAAGGTACGGCGAAAGTGCCGACCCCTGTGGGACACCAGCATTGATTACTCTGGTGGTAGAGTAAGCAGTACCGATTTTGATTCTGAATGATCTGTTGCTGAGAAAAGAGGCTATTAAGCGAATAAAATGATCTGGAAAATTGAGAGTGATTAGTTTGTAAATAAGTCCTCGATGCCATACCCTGTCAAAAGCTTTCGCGATATCGAGAAATATAGCACCGGTCGGAAGCTTGCAATTGTAGCCTTCAGTGATAATGTTGATAACTCTAAGAAGTTGGTGGCAAGTGCTATGATGATTACGAAAACCGAATTGTTCTTCTGGTAGAAAATTCATGGAAGGGTGAATTTTTTGGATGTGGAAAAGTAGAATTTTCTCAGTAACTTTAGACATGTGGCTAAGTAATGATAGGGCGATAGTTCTGTGGGAGAAGTTGGATTTTGTTGCGGGTTTGCAAAAACACTTATTATAGCTTGCTTCCATGAGTTAGGAAAATGAGCGAATTTGATATGTTGTTGATTATTTTAGTTAGGCAGGTAAGAGCGTTGATCGGGAGATGCTTCAGGCTTTGGTCGAGATGCCATCGTGCCCTGGGGCTTTCTTCGTTTGTAAGGCGCTGTGATGGTGTTGGCAACGATGGTTGGGGTAGTCAGGAAAGTGAAGTTGTACGGAGCAGGGTGTTAAGGAAGTTATTGACCACCAGGCTGACCCTTTGAATATGGTTATTGTTGTACGGAGTGGGATTAAGAGTGAATGTATCTTTCATATAGTCCTCAAAAGATTTAGCTTTATATTCTTCTGTGTATGAAATTTCCACTAGGTCCATGGATAGGTGGGATAAGTTTTAAAGTTTCTTAAATTTGCGGGAAATGTCAAATAGGGAATTGTCATCAATAGCTAGGTTATTTAGGAAATTGGTCCATTTTTGGTTTTTCAAGTTCTTGATTCTTCTGTTGATTTCTTTTTGCATAGAGTTTAGTTCGTTTTGAGTTGTGGATCCCTGGTGGTTTGTTATCTTTACGGATCCGGTTTTTTCTCTTTAATCCTATTTCTTATATCGGCAGGCAGGGAAGGAAAGGCTTGTTCACATAAAAAGTATTGGTGGCTTCCCTTAAAGCAGAATTGATGCTGTTGAGTAAATTTTGAGATTTCTTGTTCTAAATTCTTCTTTGCTGTTGATGCATGGGTTTCCTTGTATGGAGTTATTCAGAATTTTTCAGAGTATTTGATCCAATTTGTAATTCCTATACTTCTGTCAAAGTGAGGGGAGGTATTTATTAATGGGGATTTCAAATACAATGGGGGTTGTGGTCGGAAGACAGGGCTGAAATTACAGAGATATTGCATCTGTTAGTAATGTTATTTGAGATGAAGAAGTCAATTGTGGTGGCGCTATTGTACCCGTAGTGGGTGGGCTCGTCTGGAGCATGAATATTATAATTATTTGATTAAATGAGCTTAAATATGTCATTTCCTTTTTTGTTAGCAGGTCCTCGGTTCCAACAGGTGTGTTTGGCATGTACCATTCGATACACAGCCAAAAATACAATCCATACACACACTTGTATATTGTTGTATTGTTGGTCGTATCTACTTTTCAATTATATTTTTGGCAACGTTGTGATATTTGCTATATTGTGTATCAAGGTTCTTTAATATACTAAGGTTAGGCCAGGAACGGAAAAAGCGTGCCATTGGTTGCTGGTAGTGACGTCACCCGGGAGACAAGACGCATCGGCCGACGCGTCTGCTACAGATTTTGGTATGGAAAAATGTAAACTAAAGCAAAATGATCATTTATATTGGTAGATATACCGGAAATACCGGGTATATACTTTCCGATTAAGTATTTTGTTAAAGAAAATGTTTATTTATGCACAGAATTCGTACGAATGCTGAAATAATTGTAAACCTTAAATCTTTTCGTAAAGGAAAGCATTAGAAAATGAAAACGATATTTAAGTTAATTAAGGGAAATAAATATTGTAAAACAAGGTATTTTTCAATATTTTTCGTAGATTGTTTGCACTAATAAATCTTGTTGAACAGAACACATGATGGCATAACTGCTAAGACCATGGTAAAAACATAATCAAAAAGTATTATTCTATTTTATTTTCATTGCTCATGCACTTTTTTAACACAAATGAACTTTTGACATTCCATGAGAAATATATGATCGTGATTTTCAGTTTAAATTACGTATCTCAAGCAAAAATCTATATAAAAAGATTTGAATCGACAAATTCATATTTAAATATCACAAAATTCTACAAATTTCTTAATATCACGTCATTATACTTTTAAATAGACTTATCACATTCCTTTTTAAAGTGAAAAGTCACTTCATTCTGATTCACTTCAGATTTCCAGCAGAAGTGCGCATATATTTTCAGTATAATCTAAAAGCACTATTATAATTCCTTACACTCCCAAGATTTCTATATAACATTTATCCTGGCGTGATTATTTGCTGTAGTAAATGATTTTCGATATTGACACCCTATTCTTCCCTCCCTACAATTAAAAATGGAATAACTAAAATACATTTCTTACACATATACGCACATAATAATAATAATAATAAACTTGCCCTACATCTTAGTTTCGGCCCACCAGCGGGCCGAGCGGTAAAGTCGCTGAACACTGGTAGTTCGGTTCGAATCCCGCGAACGGACTGGCTGCATGGGCGTTTTTCGTGGTTTTCCTCATGTGTAACGTGTATACGAGCCAATTTCCCTGAGAAAGTCCTCCACGAAGGCATCCACCTATTGCGCAGATAGCCCTAGTGTGCTTTTGCCATAATTAATACACCACTACATCTTAATTTCAATTCAGCCTGTACACAAATTAATATTTTTAATTACTAATGTATTTTTATCAGGTTGTTCTTAAAATATTTTGTATACTCGAAGTATGTGTTCAATATGAATTATTTTTCTTTCTTTATAATTAAAAACAGTTATATGAAATCAAAATTAAAACATATGCAGCAGTTAAATAACACTGAAGAGAAATATTACTTTACTTAATCTTTCGCTATTTGTATTCCAGCACAATACACAGATTTTATTTTCCTTCAGGGTTCAAGCATGTGTAAGTTCACTTAGTCTTAGTTATATCAATTAAATTACATCAGACATATAAGTATGCATCAGGGTTAAATAACACTGAAGGAAATATGTCACTCACTCATTCGATGTTTGCATCATAGTGTGGTCGAGAAATTGTTCTTTTCCTCACGGTGAAGCATGTATCAGTTTAACTTAGTTCGCAAATGCTTAAACCCAGACATTGCTTCAATACATAGAATTACGTTTGGGATGTAAAGAAAGTAACCAAATGTGAATGAAGTTTGGATACTCGAATTATCTAATCATTCAGGTATGATTGGTAAACAGGACACTGAGTTTAAATATCTCTACATTCATACAAAATGAAGATTATAATAAAAATGGTTTAAAATGAGAAATTTTTCAATTTAAAGGTAAAATAGCAGTAAAATGAAAAATAAATGTAAAATTACATCACAGTTTATGCATGAAACTACATAAATTCATTAAAAAAATAGTTATTTTATCTGGTTGTAAAGAGTGTTTTTTTCCGCCAAGAAACTATTAAACGTGTATAATTCTGACACAACGCTATAGCACAATTTGACACTTCCGCCTAGGTTAATAGGCAAATAACAACACAAATCAAATCAAACTGTTGATGCAACGAAAGTAAACAACGCCAAGAACTAACGCTGTCACCCACATGACGTCATGCGTATGTGGCATAACTTTCTCCCTGCACTGCGCATCGCTCTTGGGCCCCCCTCCCTGTTGTGTATGATATTTTTAAGGGTGATTTGAAATTGTATTTCAAGCTGAAAGGCATATGAAGTACACTGAGCAAGAATCGTTAAACATTTGTTATTATTAGGGTAATTTTCATAAATGGATGTTGGACGTGCTCTTCGTAATACATCAAAAGGGCAGCTGAAATATGATAGATATTGGATTGAAGAAGGGAGAACAAAGGTAATTTTTTTAAATAGCAATTTTTTGTTACTTCATTCAGCACAAGTTAAAAGACTTCTGATCGCATAATAGAAGTTGTTTTTCACAGTTTCATGCAATATTTAAATACATGAATGCGTTTTAATACGTGACTTTTTACTTGATAATCTTTATTTTTCAGGAAATTCTGGACGGCATTTCTCATTATTCTTCCAACATAGCGATAAATATTAGTCCTAAGATTTTGTCATCTATAGCGAGTGATATCGCTAAAGGAGAGAAGCGAGAAAATGAAGAGGAGGAGGGAAAAATATATGAAAAACCAAATGTAAACACTCCCAAAAGTGCGTCTGATGTAGCTGATTCTTATTTTTATGAAATACAATTAGAGACTGAGCTTCCGATTATAGAATATGAAGGAGAAAGATTGAAGTCTATTCAGGTTAGTAGCTATGTCTTCTTTCAGGTTCTTATAAAATTGTTTATATTATAGGATTTCCTTTTACCTGCATGACGGTGTACTTTATGAACATATAAAATCGCCTGCAGTGTAGCCAGTTTTATATGCTACTATATAATTTTTATGAATAAGTAAAAAGAAATAGATAACAGTATTAATAATGTAAAAAAATTCACGGTAAGTGCAGAATCGCCCACTTATTTGTATGGCGCTTTTTACAAGAGTAAGAAGAATTGGATTTTTGTCAATTTTCTGTGACTTTTTAAGTGAAAATAAGTCGATGTTTACATGGATAAAGTCAAGGGAGTGCGCAATACCATTTTTATGCAGTTCTGGGATGTTTTTTAAGTGAAAATAGGTCGATGTGTACATGGATACTGAGTATGTGCAATTCTTGAAAACGTGCCAAGCAGTGGGTGATTCTGCACTTTCCCCAAAATTCGTTTGATTTTTTTACAGCAGCAATATGTGCCCCAAATACGAGTTATTTTGTGTAGACAGAACTGTACATTATGTTATAGTCTTTCAATTAAATAATTCACCATCGTTCATAAGATGTATAGTATTCTTTACTTAAATAAAGTAAAGGATATTTCAACTATATAGATAGTTCTTGTAAAAGTTATGTTAATGTAAAAAAATTGAAAAAATACAGTGCATATGAAAAAAAGTAGGTGGTATTTCCAAAAATGAAATTCAAAACAGATATATATTAAACACAACTGGAAATTTTTAGTTAAAACCTTATTCAATTTTTATTTTGGAACTACTCTGGTATGCGCCCTCAAATCGCCAAATTTCTCGTCAAACATTTTTGGCAGGAAACTCCAAGCTGACATATTGCTGTCTAATTTTTTTGTCTACATTTCGAACTTTTAGCCAAAAATGTCTCCAAAAACACCGTTTTCGCAAATGCAAAAACCACATTTTGAACACACAATTTAAGCTAAAAATCCGAAACAAAAACAAAAAATTTAGATAGCAAAACCGTAAAGTTTCTAACCAAAATTATTTGACAAGAGTTCATGTACACAGCGATATGTTTTAACTTAAAAAAATATCTACGAATGGCACAATCTAGGCAGCGAACAAATCTGCGAACTACGCACACCTCACTTTAATAAATTAACAACAATAAATTTCAAAGAATACCATTTACACAGCGCTCTGGTTTCAACTTTAAAAAACATCTACGAATTGCACAATTAGACGGTACGCACTAATCAACAAAATAACAAATAAATTTCAAACAATTAAAAAAAAACAACAATAATGACAGAAATTTCTACTAAAAAAACAAAGAACATAACATTTCACAAAATAAGAACAAGAATAAAATAAAATGCACTTACCATGAATCAATGCTTTTTCGAACAGCAGAAATACCAATTTCATACCGTCTTTAACATGCCGTCACGTAATCACTATCGTATTTATATTACAGCCAGACACACTATCCAGAAAATTCATACTATGGTTCACAAATAAATAAAATACCAAATAATCACAAATCCCTACTTCTATCATGCACAGCCACTAAAAATAATCTCGGTGCTACTTTGGTAGACGGTTGCACGGATTTTGGCGATTTGCCTTTTGGCGAGTAATACAACTTATGGTAAACCCATTGCTGGATACGTTATTTATGGTAACCGATACTTTGTTGTCATTTTATTAAAAAAATAATGCATTTTATTATGCATAACTTCCGTGTTTTAAATATTATTTATGGCTTCTAAATATTAAAAATCAATTTAATTTTACATTTTTATTTGAAATAAAAATTTGTTGTTTATAATATTTTGTATAATTTATGTTTGTGGATGATGTAATCAATGACGTCACCTTACTTAAAAAGTAATTAGTTTTATTTATCTAAATTTAACCTAATGTTTTAAACATTATTTATGACTGTTAATATTAAATAAAATTTAATTTGTATTTGTTTTAAAAATGATTTTAGTATGAATGATTATTTAAATAATTTTAATTTATGCGTGATGTAATTAGCTCCCTGTTGATTACTGAATATTTGTGCATTACCGCGCCATTTTTAAAATTTATTATTCATCTCTTCGAATTCGTCAGATTTCAAATGGAATGGCTATCTCCATTTTGAAGACGAATGTTGTTATTGGTAATTACCAAGAATTATTGGTATTGGAATAAAAAAATTGCCCTTTGAGACCTTATTTTGGCCCACCTGTCTTTGCCTAATCAAAGATTTATTTATAAATTGTGAATAGCGTCAGAGGAAAATTATTTTAAATTTTTGGAGGAAACCTCGCTAATTGCTTCTCCAATGAAGTGCGAGATATGTGGATAACAGATGAAGATGGTTAAAAGAGCCGAATCAATTATGATTTCGATTTTTGTAGTGGTACTTATCAATAAACAAGAGGTTAAACTACTTAAAAAAATGTAAGTACATATTTTTCTTTTATTTTAGAATTGTATACTTCAATTTTTGTTAAAAAAATTAATTACACTATTTCAAAAAAAATTGGCTGAGATAATTATTGTCACATATGTTTTAATGTAATTTATTTTATATAACGATTTTAAAGTATTTAATTTAATAATATTCTAATTCTTTTAAATGTTGGTAGGATGGTTTTTAATTCGATATTCAATTTCAGTAATATTTTAATCTAATTAAATGTTGGCACAATGTTTTTTTATAGCGGTGTTTTTATTCTTTTTTGCTATATGAAAGTAATAATAGCCCTTACTTTAGTACTTTATACTCATAGTAAATGTATTTATTTACACTTGCCTGCCATCTTAAAAAACGACATTTTCAACAAAAAGTTAATCCATTAGTTTTAAATATATTTATTTTTTTTAAAGTTTCGAATACTTTACTATGCGTAAAAACAGCGTTTTTCAAGATGGCTGACGATTGTAAAAATCGCGCCAACGTAAATCGCCAAAAATCCGTGCAACCATCTACCAAAGTAGCACCATAATCTCCCAGACCCTCTTTCCACACCTCCAAATACCCACTGCCCCTCAACAGGATGGCCACGACGATATTTCCTTTTGCCGAACTTCAACAAAATCCACCATTTTAGCTTCTCAGACACAGAGCATGATGCGAATCAAGGAACTCCAGCGAAGGATTTTTCAACGTCAGCAAGGTTGCCATACAACACACAATCGCGCCAAAAACCAGCGCAGAACACATATCGCCACATTTGGTGAAATTAGGGCGTATATCAAAGTTGTACCTTTATTTTTTGAATGCATTAGGAAGTTAAAATATGTGCATATACTACATATGTAAACTTTTAAATTTAGGAAGCCCTTTCTCAGCCTGCATGGGTTGAAATATATATATTTAATTAATTTTGTATTATATAGTTTAAAGTCGAATTTATAATTTTGATTTTTCAGTGTCATATTTTTTTTTTTGTATTTTCCAATTTAGAAGCTGTTTTTTCCCTCTCATTGTACCAGTTTTCTCGGGAAAACGTAAAATCTGTTTGCCTTTATTTATTACATTTTTTGGTACTGTTCTGTTATCGAAACTGGACTCGTCGCCAGATGTTTCGATAAACTTGCCAAGAGGTTGGTTCATATGAAGTCGCTAGCGTTTATTTTTAAAATCATTACAATGTTTGCTTTTTAAAAAATTAAAAGAATGCCTTTTCAAAATTGGCAATGGAAATACAAATTCAGGAGATGTAGTGGGAGCTTGTGTTATTATTATTATTGTGTTTACTCTGAAAGTTTGGAATTGACCTGATGATGAAATCTTCCATACAATTTCTTCAGGAACAAGGAATTATGCTGAAAGAAGTAAACAAAAACTATAAAATGAAGCTCTACCTCAATTCAAAAGAAGCACTGAAATGCAGATGGGAAAATATAGCATGCCAAGAAAAGAGAAAGGATTGCATTATCAAAATTGGTTTGAAGGATTAGGAATCAGTTTCTTAACACCAATTCATTTCATTTATGCATGGTGTTTAAAATCAACTTCCATTGAATTTTGTCAGTATCAGCTTAATATGAATCTTGCACTGCTGCTGATTGGAATAGTTATATAAGGGAAGTCTGGGGCCATGTGTTAATATCTAGACTGTTAGTTAAAATAGGCAGCACTAGTAATATCGCGAAGTTGATGAAAGTCTGTTTTTGCGTTGAAAATACAGCATTGGTTGCATCCTTATGCCCCAGCGGGTATGTGAAGGGATTTGCTGAGAAAACAGAAGCATGTTTGGTACTTACAAACTCTGACGACTACCCAGATATTTCGCCAAAATTGGCAACCCTTGTAGGTTATACAGGTTAACCCTAACATAGGTTATAAAGGGCGCTAAAATAAGATTATTATCCCTCACTAGTCCAGCACTTGCTATTACCATACTCTCTTTTTACTACATTTAGGTTAAGCATGTGAAACTTTTTGTGATTATTTTTTTCCCAATGGCTATCAATATTTTCCAACTTCCTTCAAATGAAGAAGGAGCGGCAGAATTTTTCAGAGAGGCTGGAATTTTACCCAAAGAACACATTTGTAAAAATGGCCATAATATGAAGTTTTATAATTCAGAATTTTATTGGAGATGCAATGTCAAAAATTGTCAGCAAAAGTTTGGTGTTCAAACTGGCATGTGGTATAAAAACAGTCGTATTGAATTTTTAAAAGCTTTAAGATTTCTTTACTTTTGGGCATATGAAGAGTCATTCATTAAATGGTGCAAACATCAGTTAGATTTATCTAATAGGACTGTTATTGATTGGAATAATTATATGCATGAAGTGTGTGTAAAGGATTTGCAGGATAATCGGAATATTAAAATTGGAGGGCCGGAATGATTGTCAAAATTAATGAAAGCCTTTTTACGCGTCGAAAGAATAATCAAGGTAAAATCTTCCCACGGCTACTGGGTCTTCGCTGGAGAATTTGCCGGGAGATGAAAGAAACATTTCTAATCAGAGTTCCAGACCGGTAGGCAATAACATTAATGCATGAA